AAATAAGCGTGCTTAAAGTAGGGAAAATAAGATGCTTCATTACAAGAAATGAGGTTGGCATCTACCAGGTTTTCCATTAAGTTCCAGGTCACAGACAAATAAAGGAAGTATGTTAGGAAAAAAAACCTTTTTAAAAATAATTAGGGAGATGTCTGTTTTGTTCACCAGATGGAAAATCAGTAGTTGTGGGTGGTCTGTGCTGGATGGGGCATCTCACAATTGGCAGAACTATGCCTTTAACTTTTAAAGTCCTGGGACAAAATGTGAAAGTAATTGACTGTTCCGAATGCTCTCTCTCTGGATACTTTGCATGGTTTTAAAACCAAGATTTGGTGAGTTTCTGACTTTTTTTTTCCCCTAAGAATGCTCAAGCTGTTGTGTCTAGTATTAGACCAATGGGGTATATTTTTGGTAGCTGTTTAGTGGGGCTGTTGTCTTTTGTGCTTACATCTGTGTGTGCCTGGACTTGCACGCGCACAACAGCTTTACAATGCTCCATTAGCATGTTGTGCACATGATTTTCATATTATTGTCAGTGTTTTCTGTGTTCAGGGTATACATAAACTGTTGGTTAACATAATTTGTTTCTTTCCTCTAGTTAGTCAAGTTTTAAGGAATTAAAATCTATCCATTTGCCAACATAGTAAAGAAAAGAAAGTTGCAACCTTATTTTTGCAAACAAGAAGAAAATTCCTGTTTTAAAATAATTCATGCATTTGTAAAAGTGTTAAAAATTTTCAGTATTCTTTTGGGTTTGTTTTTCTTTTAATCTGAATAAATAAATCCAAATGTGCACGTACGGATAGTATGTGTTCCCACAGGCATATGGTCATTTATGTATGTGTTAAAATCTTCTTGGTGCAGTTTGTAACTTTGCTTTCTGTTTCAGAACTGACACTTTCTAATTGCCAGGTTAATTTGAGAAAACAGTATTTTGAATGTGGAAGATGAGTTAGAAGATCTTTGTATTCACGTTAATAACAGATTTTATTATCTGAACTGTGATAAGAATGTGTGCTGTTCAGCAGTGACCTCTCAAAGAATGAGGCAGAACCCATTTATGGCACAGGAGGCAATTGCTTTATATTTACCTTACTTTACAGACCATTTTTTGCAGTTATCTGTATGAATAGTCAAAGAGAACTGCATGCGTGTCTTATATCTATATTGTAGCTTGTGTTAAACCAATCCCCACACTTATTATGTAGAAGCATTCTTGAAGATAAGTGAGGCACTCAACTTAGTGCCTTCTTTGTAAAATCCCTTTTGCTATGCATGACATGTCCTCTGTATTTTTTTCCTTCCAGTAAATTATAAAGCTTTTTTCTTTCCATGAATCTCCTTCCAAGAAAACACATACAGCCTAATAGCACTCGCCTTGAGAACTGTGCATTGCTTCCACTACAAAGCCGTGTTTTCATTGAAGAGATAATTATAATATGGTTTAATGTTCTTGTCAACCCTGAAACACTGTCCCTAAAGAGGGCTATTCTGGTGGACGTCTTTTTGAAGAGAGTTGAATGTAGCTAAGAAAACACACATATAGCCACACACTTTTCTGATAAACCAAGACAGATTTTTAATACAATGCACACTCTCTGAAAAGAATTACATGTTTTCTAAGGCATTAATTCAGAGCTGCATCTTCCTTCAGGTTTCACTTTTAAAAATACAGAAAATTTTGACTGGATTTATTTATTTTGCTTTCCTCTCCCTTCCCCCCAGTTATATTTGTAGACTTCAAATGTATACGAGGACATAAACCCATAATAATCATTAAAATGCTTTTAATGTGCTTTGAGGCACAGACTTCAAATGAGTAAAAAAGCCCAAACTGGAACACAAATGGTTCTTCCCAGGCAACAAACATGCTTGGCTGTTGATATGCTGTAATTTTCTGCTTTACTTAGTAAAAACAGCAATTACTTATTTGTTCCATATCCCCCCCCCAGCACAGATGCTACTCAGTCTGTCCATTTTCCCAGCGCTGAGCAGGCTGCATGCGCGCGCGGGTGCACGTGCATGTGTTTTAATGCGGTGCAAGTCAAGTTTTCCCCTTGCATGCTGTACTGTTAACAGCATTTATTTTGCCACGGCTGCTGGTTTACCACCAGCCCAAGACAATGGTGTGCTGGAAAGCGGCTGGGGCTGTGAAAGTCTCACTTTGCAGACTCTCCTGCCGATGGAAAGCTTTTCCAGGTGCAGCTTTGCAAAGCATAGAGCTGACCTTACAGACCAGCACAAGGACAGATAAAAGCTGGACACACACTGGTTAAGATTGCAGCCCAGTTCAACATCATTTCTCTGTATTGTCTTTTGTGGCGGTCTGGTGGTTGTGAACAGAGTCTGGTGCTGCTAAAAGCCATGTAGGCTGAAGTAAAAAAGCCTTTGAGGGAGATGAAACCACAGGCAATGCAAAATTCGCCTCGGCTTCAGGCTGCCCAGGATTTCCCACTTGGGTTTCAAAGCACAGTTAAAGTCTGATAAGTAAGAAAAATGCAATTATCTGCTACACCACAAAAAGTACCTATGACCAAAAAACCCCTGGACACCTAAGGACAACAGAACTCTTTCACTGCTCATACGGAAAGCGTGAGACTGTTAGAACGCACAAGGAATTGAATGGCTGAGCACAGTGTAACCTGACTGCTGAATCAGGTGCTTGGGATCTTGAATTTCATATTGAATTATTTTTAAGAGCTACAGTTAAATGAAGAATATGAGCAAATATGTTAATTAATTGAAATTTTATTAAGTATTTGATTAGTATAATTCTGGAGAGGTAGTATAAGGGCTGCATAATAACTGACTGAAGATTTGAGCCGTTGTTGCAGTCATCATTAACAATCCACTTGCTTGCTCTGAAATCGATGGGATTTTTTTTTTCTCTTTCTTTGAGGAGGAATTACAAAGTAAAGCCTTAAATTAGTATTGTAAATAATCTCTCTAGGGAAACTCTTCACTGCAAAAAACTTCCTCAACAGGCAAGTGTTAAAACGTTTCTGGTGCTGCAGAGTTTAAAAACATCTTGGAGATTTTTCCCCTCAGGTTTATCTATTCAAGCTAGACAGTCACTGTTCAAAGAATAAGCAAGTGTTTCTGGCAGAATTAACATTTTAGAGTCAAGTATGTTTTGGTTACCTCACCATTTTCCTTTTGTTTTTTAGTGGCAGGAAAAAATAGCCTAAAAATGCAAAATCTATGTTAATGTAGATGCAAAACAGCATGAAAAGAAATGAAAAATGCCACTTTCCCATTGCCCCTTCTTGTCATGGCTTTGAATTTGTTACTACAAACATTATTTTTAGAGTTTGTTCTCTTTTGACAAGATAGGCTGATAATCTTTTTAATGTAACTCAGCACCTAACATTTTGATGGATATTTCTTAACTTGGATTTATTTGGGTTTTTTTTTCCCTAAAATGCCCCCCCCCTTTTTTTTAAATGAATAACTGATTGTCAGATTAAACATCTGCCAAAAAAAACAGACAGACATATAGGACTTTCCCAGTAGGTAAATATCCATTAGTTCTGTAATGAAATTTCCTCATTTTTAGGCTATATATTAAAAGAGAAATATTTTTTGTTTTAGCTGTGATGATGTCACATAGAAATGCATTGGCACATTAGATGCTCCTGTGATGACAGCTAAGGCTCAGTGATCTCTGTCGGACAGATAGGTATCTTTGCTGTTGTATATCCTCACAAATTTTCCTCTCTGAGGAATACTGTGTGGAGGGATATGTCCAAACAGCACATTTTGTGCAGTCCTCCTCCTGCTGCCCAGAGACAGGTTTGCAAAGGCTCTGCTCTTAACACATCCTTATTATTCCACTCTCCTTTTCCATGTAATTTTGCAGATAAAGAATCATTAAGCTCTAAATACTTTCAGAGTTTGCTCAAAACCAACTTTTAAACACCTGGTGCTTTTGAAGGCACTTCATTTCCAGCTTTCACATCCAAATGCTGAGATGGAGAGACCAGCTGCATGGAAGGCTGCATTGTTGCCTCTTGACGACAAAATCTTATTTAAGTAAGTGGGTAAATATTCTCTCTGACTCCATTTTTTCTAGAAATTCCATTGGTTGCATATAATTGCCATGAGATGTGAACTGATTCATGAATATTTTCTTGCCTTTTAAAAGACTGGAGCAAAACTTTGATGAAGTTCTCTTTTGATAATTTGTTGTTATTAACCTTCGTTTATGATACTGGCATTCATTCAGCCTCTGTCTCTCCCTGCACACTGCATTCTTATAAGCCTTTTCTCATAAAGGGAGACTGCAAAGACATGCAACAGCTCAAGAACAGCCTCATTAAGGCTGGGAAGTAAAATATTCACGAGTTAGAAAATGTCAGAATTAAGAAAGCTGATGCAATAGAAGTTCAACCCCCTTGTATGTTTGCATGATGGCGTAGTCTTTTAATTTCAGGATTGTACATGGGTTTTTCCACAGGACCCCTGCCTCAGTGAACAGGATGGACGATGCTGAGTTAATGAGCAGTTATTCAATATTTTGTTTTCTCCTAATTTTTCAATGTGTAGCCCTAGGCCTTATTTACTGCACACTATTGAAACCCTGCTGTGAAGACAGAATTGTTAATTTCCTCATGAGCTTTTCTATGGCACTTATTGCTATAAATATCTGAATGCTTAACAAACATTAATTAATTTATCTTCAGAAAACCCTCACGATGAAAAGAGCTGGTATTACTACTGGTTTACAAATAGGGAGCTGAGGCATAGGGAGCTGAGAGTCATGAATGTCCCGTAAATTTGGGTGCTCAGTTGTCAGCTTGCAGTTAAGGAGGTAGAAATTTGTATTTCAGCATTCAATTTTGAGGCACCTTCCCATGAGAGCTGAAAAGTAGCACTAGGTTAGATAAACAGGCTTTCTCTACTGTTATTAGAAGAGCTAGTGAGATGAGCTGTGCAGGGAGCACTAATAACCATTTATTGTACTCATAGCTTTTACATGGGGGAAAAATCAGAAGCCGTGGGCATGCAAATCCTCTTCACCTGCACTCTTTTTCTTTTGGATGTCCAGATAATTTTAATTCTGAGACCCGCAGAGCATCATGGCTGTGACTTCGCTGCACTTGAGAAGAGCTGGAAATAGTGAGCAGGGAATCATCTAAACCTACACAAGGGGGAATACTTCAGAAAGCCATTCCTTAAATCACAGCCTTTTCATAGATTTAGTATCCTTACTGTGGGTTTCAGGCAAGTGCTTTCTTCCACTGACGATTCAGAGCTCTTAGGCCTTTATTTGAGTCACTAAACTCTTGCTTCCAAAAACATTTTGGAACTTGATTAATTAGGTGGGACCCTTCCGGACAGTGTAGAAACAAAAATGCTGACAGGATTGTCCTCTTACATTAGAAATTGCTCTGTGATGAGGAGCAATGGCATGTTTATTCTTATTTTTGAGATGAATCAAGCCTACATTTCCAAAACACTGCTTTAACTAGTAATGGGTTAAACTATGACTTTATAGATTAATAGAGGCATTCCCTTGGTAGAGGGCAGACTCTGTCCTTGTTTCAGTTAGTTATCCAAGTAATTCATATTAATCAGTATTGGTTAAAGTAAGAGTAGTTTTTAGATGAATCTCCATAGACTGGCCTCAAAGGTCATGCTTAGGCTTGTTTATATCGTCTCGCTCTGATCCAGTGAACATGAGCTGTATGCCAGATAGCACTGCTTCTGCAGTATGTCCCCAGGTAAGGGCAAGACCTTAAAAAAGTTTAAAATGAACACACAAACAAACAAACAAAAACCTCTCAGGTTCCTACAGACAATAATCTTCCTTATCCAGTCATGCATGATTCAGGTCTGTCCAATAAAACATCTCTGTGGGAATGTATTATTGAAGACAGTTTCATAATCTGTGTGCCCTGAAGGGTGAATTTGGATTACACAGAATCATCAACTTGGCTATTTCCTTCCTGTCAGTTTGTCTTACAGTCTTAGCAGTAGTGCTCTAACATGGTTTTCAGAGATTGCTAAAAGGATGTTTTAGCTTGAAGTGATACTGGACCCCATGTGGTTTGTCAGTGTGGCTTGTGAGCTGGAGAGCACCAAGCTGCAGTGGGCAACATGCAGATAGTACTGCAGTACTGCACTTAGCAATGTGTGCATGGCACCAAGGTATTAGGTGCTGATACGGCATCAGTTTCCTCTGCGCATACGTTACTCCTGCTTAGTGTGGCCTGGTGTCACTGAGCCTCTGCCCTTGCCGCCTTTGTCCCCAGAGCATGGTTGGTGCCCAGCACCATCCATGGGGAGGGAAATGGCCATGCTGCTTCCTTAGCATGGAGCCAGGCCAGGCAGACAGGAGCCTTGGCCTTGTAAGAGTGGGAAGGGGGGTGTCAGAAAACAGGACTGTGAGGAGTGAAAGGAAAACGGGACTGTAGTGCCCCTAGGCCATCTTTCTGCCACAGCCTTTCATCAGAACATGAATATGAGCCCCCAGTACGAGCAGATCATAGGAGCCGCAGCCTGCCAAAGCTCCACTGACTTACTCTCTAACAACTGAATTATAGTTGGTGGTATTTTTTCTGGGGTTTTGGGGCTTTTTTTGGGGGGGGGGAAATCTCTGCAACTAAAGACACCGGTGTGCATCAGGGACCATTTTGCTTTCCCCAGCAGCTCCGTCTTGTCCTCTGTTCCTCAGTGTGTTTCAGTCCCATTCTCCTTCTGAGGGTTTTCATTCACTTCAGCTCTCTTGCCAGGCCAGGTCTGGCTTTCCTCTGAAGGCTCAGCATTTGCAGGAAGGTTTTGGGGAATGCAGAAGCAAAGCACCTTCTTCCCATGTTTTCCCAGAACTGCTGGTAGCCACCATCATGGGACAGGAGTTTGGGGTATGTACCTGAGCCATGCTGTGGAGCTCCCTTGAGGGGACGGGTGCTGCACAGTCTGGTCTGACCAAGGGCTGCAAGTGGAAGAGCCATAGCAGAACATTTACATTATCACCATCTGAAATGAAACAAATCTTCCCTGCCTATGTTAAATTGCAGTTTTTCAGAGGTTTTTAACCCTGCCAGATTTGGTTGATTTCTAATGAGCATGACAAAGACATACGTAACATACAAAGGACTCCCAGTTCTCCTTACTGAGTTGGAAATGATTTGAAAAGGAACTTTATACAAGGCCTTGGTAATGCCAATATGCAGAAGAACCCACTCTTTGCAATTACCTGTTTCTACTGTGAAGTTCCCAGAACTTCAGCCAGTAGTGGACACACAGTACAGACAGTTCTGAGAATTGTGTGCAACTGAAAATGAGTTATCTGGCAACTTAGTAATAGACCACAATATGATCCTGCTGTAGTTCGTCGACTTCCACGAGGGAAGCTGAATGTGGAGAATGATGTTGCTGTGTTTATGGAGAAACAAAACTTTCTGCAGGGTTCATGGACAAAAATGGGTACTTTTCCAGTCTGCTTAGGCTGCAAATTCCAGAAATTAGAAGGAAGAATGAATCTAAGCTGTAGACAAGGAGACATCCCTCTCCAGCGCTCAGGTGCAGAGCTAACTAAATGTGGGGGTTTGAGGTTTTTGTTAACAAAAAGACCAACGTTGCTAACGCAGACCCCCTGCTATTGGAACACCAGAAGTGTTGGACTAGCAAATTAGCACAGAGGAAATCTGCAATTGCGGAAAAACTTGGGTCCTGTGATTGTAGCAATTGTTTACATCTTTCTACAGCAAAAAGGCTGTTTAATCGTGTTAAATTACAACCTTGTGTTCAGATAGTGGGCGCTGGCATTACTGTCTTTGTGAAGATGAGTTGTCACTTCTCTGATCTAGGTTGCTCTCACAACAAAGAGGCAGTAAAGCTTTCTGTTTGAAATAGAAGAAATAGAAGGATTTTTTTTGGTGCTGGGCTGTGCAACAGTTTCCCTTGTGCGAGCCCTAAAGTTTAGCCTTTACTAATTGGTACTGAAATGAAAATTAGTCAGTGTGAGGGAAGGAAATTCACAGCTGAATTCTAATTATTGCAGAGAAAATAAGCAAAAGTGTACTTGGGCTATGTGAAATCATGGCACTGGAGTGAACTGCTTAGCTTGAGCATGTTAACTGGGACTGATTTCCTGAAGCAGCTCTCTGTGTTTTGCTCTTACCAGCAGCTGGTAGCTGGGTCATAGCTGTGCATTTTGGAGCCAGCCATGCTGGTTGAGAATGGCACCACTCCTGTCTCACTGCCACTGTGGGAGAGGCCACTGCTCCCATAGGTCTGCCTCAGAGAAGTTCGATACTCACTAATGTGGCTTGTTGTGCATCGAGCAGGGTCGGGGGCATTCACGTAACCCCTTCCCACCAGCATGGCTGCAAGGTAATCTTGGTGATCCCAGACACCCCAGGTTGATGCCATCTCAGGTTATGTTCAGAAGAGGACATCTACATGCAGCCTTCACCAAAAGCAGTAGGTGTCCTGTTGGTAGAGGGTTTATGGCTGCTGCTTAGCACAGCACTCCCTGGAAAGCATTTCATGTTCCTCTTTTCCCTCTCCCTAGCTGAACTTCACACGCTTTCTTCCCACATGGTACTCAGTCAGTAAGAATAGATATCTAATCAATTTAATAAAAGTAGGGGCTTTCTGTATTCTCCTTGGAGAGTAAACTCATCCACTGGCTGATGTACTACATCTCTACTAAGCTTCTGTTCAGATAACATTGGAGCTGGATGCAAAATGTAAAACAAAATATCCAGAGTTTTGGAAAATTATACTTTTTTCCTCTTTATTTATGTCGTTTACAGAAAAAATAGCATTGTTTTATTTTTTCTTTCTTTCTTTCTTCCCTCAGTCTTTCTCTTACCCTTTCCTTCTTTTCCTTTTTCTAATTTGCCTTTGTGAAAACAGGGCCAGTAAAATGAAAATGGTAGACTAGGCTGTGCCCATGTTCTATGCCTTTCAAATTGGCTGAAAGAGCTATATGTCAAAGCTTTGACATTAGGGTTTTTTATTAACTCATTCTTAATGCAAAAACAATTCAACCAGCTCTAGTGAGTAATGGCTTCACAGTACTCTTGGTGGCTGTTGGTAAGCAGCAGTAAGTGGTGATGAAATTCCGTAAGGGCAGTATGTAGGCTTGTATCCTTCTGTTTTGCATAGAGGCCATAGGGAAACAGTGCTGAACTTGTCCATCCGTGTCGTTGTGTGTGTGTGTCCATCCCCCCCCACCCCGCCATGCAATGTGGATTTACTGTTATCACCAACTTTGGCTCTTTCTGTAAGGAGAAGAAGCAACTGCAACTGAAGCTGTGCAGAGCAAGAAAAGATGTTGCCTTTTGCAATCTCTTTTCTGATAGACTTGTAAGGATTTGATCTGAATTAGTGAATGGTGATAAATGCTGATTTTTACATAAATCTTTCTTAAAGGACTTAAAAAACCTTGAAAAACTCATGGCAAAAATAAGGTGTCCATGTGATTCCTCTTTATACACTTGCTTCCTCTCTTGTTCTGCTCTGGAGCCATGGCGCTGTCTTTGCCCTGCATATTTAGAGGGACTTAGGCTGGAGAAGTCAAGAAAGGCTCAACTTGACAAAAGCTATACTTGGCAATGCTAAAAGCTATTAACTGTTGATTATTATCTTATCCTACTGAGCCCATTGGAGGCTTTTTGCAAAGGAGGAGTTACTGATGAGCTATTCTTCCATAATTGTGCTGGTTTCTCCAAACGACATTGTCATGTGTTGTTCTCAAAGTGAGTGTGATGTGCATAGCATGCTTTTGGGGGTTTATGCTCCTGCCAAAGCTAATTTCATACTCATTAAAGTACTGAGCAGGTCTAATCCAAAGCCTTATGGGCCTTCAAGGCAGGCCTATAAAATGTACAGATTTGCACTTGCCAGGCAGCTCCAGGGGAAGCATGCTATGCGCAGAGGGGGTTGGTGTTCATGCTGCAATCATGGAGCTGCCACTGCATCAAGGAAGTTTGGAGAAGATTCCCATCACAGTGGGCAGAGGCATATATCCTCTGGTAGTAATCCTACCTGGGAGGGCCATGAACGGAGCTACGGGCTGGCTCTGACAATGACTGTCACATCCCAGCAGGCTGCCTAAGCCTTGCGACTGGTCCTGGTGTCCTATGGGAGACAGCTGGTGTGATGCTATAGCTGCTCTTTGACTTGTGCCCACAGAGGCACTGGGCTGCTGAGTCGTGCCACCCCCTGGCCTTGCTTCTGGCCCTGCTTCTCAAAGGGGTGGCCCACTGTTGCTCATCCCCCAACATTTCCATCTCATGTGGAGTCCTTCTGCAGTGGGGGAAATCACGGTCCTGACATCACTTTCCGTGGGGCTAAGGTTCTGTTTTACGTGCCAAGCAACCCAGCTGCCTGCACTGACTCCAGCTCAGCACAAGTCAGGAGTGGCACATGCAGTGTATGGGCAAAGCCATACACCTGAGCAATGCCAACTGTGGCTTCTCCTGCCAATGTGGAGCCACTCGGGCTGAGCACTGCCAGGGGCACAGAGAGGCTGTGGCTGCCATTGTCCACCCCAGTGACCTCCCTGTGGGCAGCTGCACTGCCGGTTCCTCTTTTGGCTCCTACATGTGCCCCACACCTGGAGAAGTGTGAAACAGGACATGGCAGTGCTCTAAGCAGCTGTGCAGGTGCCAGAGGTGGCTGGTGGCTGCTTCTCCCAGTTCTTGCTACTCACCAGCAGTGGTGGGCTCATTCTCGACAAGGCAGGGCACACGCCCTATCCTGCACCCCACCTGCACCTTCAGGGTGGTCATCTTACAACTCATGTCCTGATGGCGGTTTTCTGTGGGTGGTCACAGAGATCTGCTGGTGGCCCTTTGACCCGTTGGTGACAGTGCCCAGCCTGGCTGAACCAGCTCTCAGCACCAGCAGCCAGCCATGGCGCTGCTTTGCTTTCTTCCTCCATGAAGTAAGTAGCTTTCATGCAGCTGTTCTTATCAGGGGGAGTATGTTGTCTGTCCATCCGTTCATCCATGCACATAGGCAACTGGTGAGTGGGGTGATCATGGATCCCCCAGTGAGCACGGGGGCAAGTGGGGTAGCGTTTCATTGTGTGTGGAAGCCCAGCTGAGCCCGTGGGGCCAGGGGCAGCAGGAGAAGGAGACCCGAGGGTTTCCATGGGGGGACAGGCCTCCGTGTGGGCTCGAGTCTACTCGCGTACAGCCCCACGAAGCCGCGGGGCACGGCCGGCCGGGCGCGTCCATGCCCAGACCCGACGTGCCCGGCAGCCCCGAGGAGGGGAACCCGGCCCACCGCTAGATGGCAGTGCTGCCCCGGCGGAGCGGCGCGGGGGGCGGAGCTTGGGGGGGGCGCGGCCGCCGGTTGGGTGGCCCGCGGGGGGTGGTGAGGGAGGGAAGCTCGAGCGCCCTCGCCCCCCTGCTCTCAAGCCGCCTCTCCCCCCCCCCTCCCCAGCCCAGGCCGGTGCGGGGCGGTGTCGCGCACCTGCCGCGGCGGCGGGCACAGCCCGGGCAGGGCGGCCTCCGGCTGCCTCACACGGCACCGGCTGCCACCGCAGGACGGGCACTGCCTGCCCTCGCCTCCTTGGCCGCTGCACCCTCCGGGAGCCCACCGAGGCGTCCTGCTGCTCAGCGGGGTGACCGCTGGTGCTGCCGCCGTGCCCAGGTGCGGCCCTACGCGGCCTGTCCCACCGCCACTGTAACCACATGGGACGTGTAATTATATACAATACACAGCTGTGTGCGTGTTTATCGATTGTGTCAAAAATACAGACCCGTACTGCTAATTCCTTCTGTGGTCCCAGAATCATCTTCCATCAGCTCAGTGCTATTTTCTGTGGCATAACTGCCAGGAATACTTCACTTTTTATAGAGTCTTTATTGTGAACCACAGGTAAATTGTTCCCAGCTAGTCATCTAAATAGCAACAACTTAGTACCTTTTACAACCAGCTAGGAAAACGCTGATACCAACGCTGCTGCCAGCCGGCTTGGTGAAGAAGCAGAGACAGAACGTCAAGTGATAACTGTGTAAAAGCCGTAGGCCTAAATCTCTCATGCTGTAAATTGAAGCACTGCCACTTAATCCCGGGGAATTACACTGGTTAATTACAACTGAGAGTAGGGATGGCGAGTTTTAAATGTGACGGTAATCACATAATTATTCAGGAAATGCCTAATTTTCTGTTGGAAAGGCAGGGATGAGTCCCTCTCAACCATGAACCCTGTGAAATGAGGGCTGGTGGAGTGAGGCAGCCCTGCTTGTGCTGCTTGGCGAGATGGCCAGAGCCTGCGTTCGAGAGTGATTCATCTCTGTGCTCCTCAGTTGAGATAACGGCATCGCAAACCGGGCTGCTAAGGGTAACCTGTACATTGCATAAGGACAACAGATGGAAATCCTGGTTTAGAGCCGCTGCAAAAAATAAAAACGTGTTCCAAAGGGAAAAGGAGCTTGTATTTCTGTGTTTGAACCTTTGATCTTCCTTCACATCTCAGGGGAAGAGAGGACCTTTTGCCGAAGACACATGGGTTTGCATCTGTGAAAACACAGCTGTATAGAGAAAAACAAAACTGGTGCAAAACACAATGGCTTTGCTGTGTCAGTTTAGCTGTTGGCGTTAAAATGCTTTAGAAATAGTGGGGGTTTTTGAAGAACCTTTCAGAAAGTCTCTGTCTTTACACAGTTGTTTGTTGAGATTTCACTCTGGATTTTGAAGTTCATCAGTGATCAAGAGACAGATGCTACCTAAATATTTAAAGTGAGCTCATGGGAAAGTCTGGCTATTCCCTCAACATTCCTGCCTTAATGGTTTTCTAAAAAAAAAAAAATTTAAAGGCATCAAAATTTACAGGAAAATCCAAGCTGCCAAAATAACCTTGATTCAAAGAAAAAAAAAACTTAATTAAGGTAATTAAGGTAACTAAGATAAATCCTTATCTTAATAATGCTGTGATTCTGAATGGTGTATGTGTGATATACAGCTATTTCATGATAACATACTGCCTGTTCAGCATCGCCCCAATGCACCCCCTGAAAGTACAGGGATGTTGCTGGGTGTCCTCGGTCACATCGGTTTGCATCAGTGTGGTGGCAAAGCTGCTCTCCTATGCCTGCCTCTTGTCTTCTGCCTGCCCATGTCTCGGACTGCACATTGCTGTCCCAGCAGTGTCCCTGCCTCACTGCATAACCCAGCACCTACCTGTGTCCCCCTGTTCCTCTCTGTCTCCCCACAGCATTGCCAATCACTCACTTGTTGCAGGAGCCTGGCAGTGTTATTCCTTTTCTGCCTTAAATCCCTACTAACTCTATTTGGTTTATTATGAATGACAAAGAGAGGAGCTAGAAATGAAGAAGGCTGGATGTGCAAATGCAAAATTATTTCTTAAATTAAAAAGAAATGTCCTCTTACTTGTTAACCACCTGACTCCTTTTTGGGCAGGGAGGGGATCTGACTCTGCTTTTAATTCTTGACATCAGCACAACAGCACTGTGCTCATAAAGGTTATCCATCCTGGAGCCTTACAATAAATTTTCAAATGTGTTTGTGTTCCTAAACATGCAGCTGGCACTTAATGGGATTTTCAAAAGAGCGTAAGCAGTTTAGACATCCTGCCATCCGCTGAAGTCAGTGGCATTTAGGTACCTATCTTGCTCAGTTGCTTTCGAAAATCCTGCCAGGTGCCTGTTTGCATCTTCAGTTGCCCTGGAAAATCTGGTCCCCATCTATCTCCTTGACCTCCCTCCTCCCATCAGTATTTGTCTCCGTCTCTGGCCTGTGTTGATGCCAGAGTCTCCTCCTTTGTAGTTCCTAACACCAGCAACATCCCTTTCTTTTCTGTCTACCAAACTGGCTCTTCAGCTGGTTAAAGGCTCAGCTGAGCAGCTGTGAGCATGCCCAAATTTTTCAAATTAGTTTCCCTCTCCTCCTGATGACTTTTATTTCTTTCTTGGTGGTGTTTTCACTGTGTAAAGAATTTGGGATTAAAACATGTGGTGCAAATGGGTGTGAGTATGAGGGGAGTGCCATGTTCCTTCTCTCTGTTAGGTTTTGTGTGTCTCAAGGTTGAATGTGGAAAGATGGGCAGTTAATTTCACCCTCAGCCTGTCTCTCCTGGAACCCTGGAATGGTAAAAGTAGGTTTTATGTAATAGTCAGTGGGGTTTATATTTAGAGTTGAGAGAATGAGTATTTGAATTTCTGTGTCGAGCACAGAGAGGGGTGAGTCACTGGGCCTCCTGGTGCAAAGCTGTTCCCCATCTGTAAAATGGATCCCTGGTCTCCGTTTGCATGGGTATAGAGCATGGGTAATTAATTAGTGTTTGTGCAGCCCTTTGAAAACCCTCGAACAGAAGGTGCTAGAAGGTGCTGTGGGTCGGCCTGGCACAGAAGAGGCTCACCCCAGAGCCTGGCTGCCCTCAGAGCCCTGCGGGGTGAGGATGGGAGCTGCGGGCCCTGGGAGCTGCCGGCCCATTCCTTCAGCAGAGAGATTCCCTGTTTTCTTCAGGGAAAAACAAATTGGGAAGGGAGTTGTCGGTGCGCACGCCTCTCTTGCTGTGCCTGGCCTCCTCTTTTCCCAGGAATAACAACAGCTTCATTAGCAAGCTGACAAAAAAAAAAAAAAAGGGAACGAGAGTATTGAAATATTAATAATAATAATAGTCCGGGTAACAGAGAGACAGCAGCTCTTGTCTCTGCCTCATGCCGAAAGTTTCCTCTTTGAAGTGGTTGCTTCCCTCCTCTCACCCCACCGGGAGGGAAGGGGGAACAATTGTTGAGATCTAAAGCCAGGCAGGAATGCTGAGCTGATGACTTTCCTGCCTGCCCCCTGCCTGCACCCCTGCCTGCCCATATCCCTGCCTTCCCCTACACCCCTGCCTGCCCCCCTGCCTGCCTATATCCCTGCCTGCCCCTACCTGCCCCCACACCCCTGCCTGCATTCTGCCTGCACCCCTGCACACATTCCTCTCTGCCCCTGCCCATACCTCTGCCTGTCCCATCCACACCTCTGGCCACCTCTTCACTATCCCCTGCATGCCCGCTGCCCAACCCTACCCAAATCCCTGTCTGCCTCCATCCACATCTCTGCCAGCCCCATCCACATCCGCCCTGCCCCCGTCCTCATCTCTGCCTGCCCCACCTAAATCCCTGCCTGCCCCACCTAAATTCCTGCCTGGCCCCATCCACATCCCTGCCCGCCCCCATCCACATCATTGCCGGCACCCCTCGCCTCCCCTTGC